TCACTTTTAGCAAGCTTATTACTTTTAAATGTTAGTAACTGAGCTCCACGTTGTCAGTAAATTATTTTAAAGTAATGAGAAAGCACTGCTATCTAAAGAGAAATTGTCACAGACTTTACACACCAACATAGTGAGTTAGGATTGCCAGAAATACCCACCTGCACATCTCAGGCAGTGACTCCTGCTGGAGTCTATTTTACCTCACACAGGGATGTGCATAGCACTCAAGAAATGTCCAGCCTGAGCTGTGCTATAGTCATGTTGGGCTTAAAGCTAAACGTTAATTCACTGAAGAATATGGGCAGTTCTGGGTACCAAGGAGACACACACATGTAAGTAAAATAGGTACTGACAATCTTCAGAGCTCTTGAGATGCAATGCATCATCCACGTGGAAAGTCTTTTCTATCATATGAGAAAGTGCATTTAATGACATCTCAATTTTCTGAGCATGAAGCATGGACATCTTCTCTCAAAATGATACAAATATTGAAAAATTTCAAAGCATGTTTTAACTCTAAGTTGGAGTTATCATGAAGAAACATGTCTGGTTTATAAATTAGAATTTGTCTTTTTCTTAGGCATGAGTTAAAAAGAGAAGAAATGGATCAGTTTCCTCTGTGCTTAGCCTTGTGTATTCATGGACACACCTACGTACAAGAACAGCAGCCATAACACATGTTTTATCATTTGAAAAGCATCCTTCGCTGGGAAAATAATGATCAAAGTGGCTTTTCTCATTTCATTAATTAGAACTCAAATGTTTCAAATTTTGACATAGCTCTCCAGAAATGTGTGTTTCTGCCTGTGACTTGCCTGATTTACATTCCATGTCACTTGAAATTCAAGGAGTCATTCATCTTTACATCACCTACTGGCATGTGCTGACTGTAGACACAGTCCTGCAAGCTTGCACCACTCCCATCAGTCTCAAGAACTGTTTAAAAAATGCAGCAATAACAATTCATTTCAAATGAGACAGTCCAGTAGTTGGAGTTACACTGTAACCAGAACTGTCAGTGGAAGCAGCATATTTTCTGACTAAGAAATTGTTGATCACTTCAGGCCTACACAAAATAAGGGGGAAAAGCCAACCCCACCTAATTAAAAACTTGCCTTGCAATACTATGTTAAAGATTTTTTTAACTGTTTTTTTCCCATTTGTTGCTTGCCAGATGTTAACAGGATTGCAGCGCATTTGCACAGCTTACAGAGATTTTTGACTGCAAAGCTTAGAAGAGACACATAAAATGCATCTCCTAGCCTCTGACACAATTTATTTTTAACCAGCCTAAGTGAAAGCACTAAAATTCCCTGCTCAGCACTTGAGGAATGAGTATCTGACAAGGAATGCGGCACAGTTGCCCCCAAATAACTTTGTCCTGACCCACCAAATACAAGGATAAACAAATGAGATGGTTCTTGCCCCTCCTCCTTTTCTGAGAAGTCAGCATTCTCCACTGAAAATAAACCAGTGTCAGTAAGTGACAATTCTGGAATTCTCCTTGGGAGTTAAGTCCCAGTTGAGACACTAAATTACTTCATGAGAATGTGTCCTATTGCTAAACATTTGTAGCAGGGTCCCATTGCAGTATCCTTGGGTGCATTCCTTTTTTAATAAAATTGACATTTTATTCCACTTAGGCACATCATAAAATCGCCACCAAATAATACTTCATGTGGTAGTTCTGTAATAATCAAAGAGACACTCTGGGCACTTTATTCTAAATGTTAGTCCTAATCCTCCAGGCAAATACTAATGGATTGTAGCAATTTGGGTAGTCACTGGAGCATAAAAAATATGAATTTTTTAAAATACCTAATGCTTAAAAAGCAAACAAAAAAAAACCAAACAAAGACAATAGTTTGCTTGTCAGAACACAAACAACTTCCCCACAAAACATCTGAGAAAGAACGACAAGGCAGAAGTTTGGACAAATCCAGTTTAGTTATTGTGTGCAAGTCTCTGACTGCAGTAGGAAATTTTGATGCTTTCCTCTTTTTTACTGACATGACTGCTGCTGCACCAAAGGATGGATAAAGCAAGCAGTAATGTATACAAGAGGAGACAGATTCAGCAAACTGAAAAGCATTCCCTGTTTTCCTGCTCCAGGATAGAGGACACCATAGCTGTCAGTAAACGGGTGAAACCAAAACGAGAGAAAAGCAATTGTAAAAGCTAACATCTGCTATGTGACACAGCAAACACACACACAGCCAAGTTCTCCAGGTGAATGGTCCCATCTGCACTAGAGAAATTATGACACTATGCTCTGTGTGTTAACTTACCTTGTAAGAGGTAGAATCCTCCCATTTCAGTCACAGCCACACAGGTACAACTCAAATTTTAGCACCTGAACTTTTCCAAACTTCCACTAAACACAGAATAATGCATTGTCTTGGAATTGTTAAAGTATTTTAATGTGTCCTTTTTTAATTAAGTGGTTGAAAACAAACAAGTAGACTGACCCACACATGCAACAAGACTCTAATTTCCCCATTTTTCATTGCATCCTCTTTCTTCCCTACTTTCAAATGATGAAACGGCAAAATTTGATCTTTCCTTTTTGGAATGGAATTCTTGACCACATTTAGACCCTGGACAGCAAGATACCCCAGCTAACACATCCTGGGAGTCACTGCTGAAGTCCAGGCAGTGACCGGAGCTGCCCAGTGGTCTGCTAGCTGACCTGGACTCTTCAGAACCATGTGTCCCATACCATCTTGCAGCTATCCTGGCTCCCAGAGGCTTTCACCCATGAACCTGGGGGAACAGGGACATCAGATGTCCATGGAGTGCTGCACTGATACACACCTCCTGCCAGGTTTCTGCTGGGAGCACTGGCCAAGGAGGCCAGACACAAGCTCAGGCTTTTTCTCAGGTTAGAGGAAAGTCAAGCCATATACAGTAAGTGCAGGACGGAGCTTGCCCTTGTCTAAGTGGTCAGGGCAGTCATTTAGGAGAAGAGTTCTGGTCTTGGTAACTGTGCCAGAGATCATTTGTAGCTTCTTTTTAATAAACAACAGACATATGTGTAGACACATATCCACACAGATATGCACTTAACGAACTGAGCTTTGGTCTGAGGGTGGGTACATTACCTCAGTACTGTGAGAAGCGGCACATGGTCCCAGTGAGCACCATTTGAGGGAGTCAAATCCATGTTTGCACCGGCCCGATCCAACTGGTGTTAAAGGTGCTCAGCTTGCTGACTGCACTGGGCCCTTCTGAGGGCTGCAGGACCATGCCAAGCATGCTCAGAAAAGTGCTTCTGAGGCTCCAATCGTGTGCAGAATAGAAATCCAGACACCTCAAAAAGAGATGGACTTGAGGACTATAGGGCAGGGAGGAACACAGTGCTCCTCCTTTATGGCTTTGTATTTTGGTATTTCCAGTTTGAACACTGACGCCCTTCATGGGGCTGAATGTGAAGCTCAAAACTTACAGTATGTCTTGCATGTGTTACCAGACAGGAAGCATGCCATGTAAATTAAAATGGCAAAGTAGTAATGGCCAATCAATTGGAGGCTTTACAGAGAAAATATTAATGAATTCTGTGTGCCCAAAGTTTCTAATTGCAGTATTTGAAGATCATTGATGTCCTCTCATATCCCGAGTTTCAAAACGAAAATGTCACTGTAACTATTTCTTGAATGTTTTTGTGCCTTTTTCCTCTTTCTAGGTGGAGAATTTTCATCAAAATTTTCATCAAAATGTGTTGCTTACCGAAGACTTGATATTTATGCTGACTCTGTATGCTAGGAAGGAGATGAGAGATATCAAGCATATTTTCCAAATCATATTTTCAACCATGTAAGATACAGAATCATGTTAGTTACCTTTCTAACCCCAGCAAAAATAACAGATCATGTTTCTGGTGATAGAAGTGACCAGACATACCTGGTCTCTCAGCTCTGGAAAGAAAAGACAAACAGCTGAACCACTGTTTTCTCTCTCCTTAGATGTAGCTCTTACGTGTCAGTGTGGTGGCTATGTTAAATCACAGTCTCTCATAGGATATTATCATTAAGGAGAGGCACACAGGAAACCAGTAATTGGCACTAGAATTTGATCTTTCACCTCTGTTGCTGGTAACTCAACAGATCCCCCATTTCTGTGCTTCATGAGAGATTTCAGCTTTTGGAAAATGTTTATGCATTCTGAACTCAGCTTTTGGAAAATGTTTATGCACTCTGAGCTTGTGACACACATTTTGGTGTTAATCTCATTTTGCTGAGCTCATATCCTCACCTCAGTGCAGGCACTGGTGTTCACATTGTGAAGACAGATGCTTTAACGCTGGACATTATGACATAACAAGATCCCATGACTACAAAAGAAATTGTGCCAATATAAAATTTTTTTACACCTGGCTCAAATGTTCTAGGCACAAACCAAGAACTGCAGGGTAAAATTCTATGGTTTGTCCTATAAGGAAAGCTGAAAGAGATGAATATTTAGAACCTCTCCTGGCTTTAAAATCTACCAGTTCTTTGACCTGTGATCAGAGGCCAGCAAGTTTTTGGAAGAGTTCTCCAATTGTTTTCAGACTATTAAAATTTTGTAATTTTGAAAACATGTGTCTGATTTTTAGTGTTTGCTACAATTTTTACAATTTTTTTTGGGGGGGGAGTGGGGGTGGGGGTTGGGGAGGGGCAGGGGACGGAGAGGGAAGGACATTAAATTAAAAACCCCCGACTTTTCCCAAAATATCTGCTTAAACTACTACATGACTTTATCTACTTTGGTTGAAAACCTGGGTTTTATGCATTCATTATAAGATAGGACAAAGAATTTCTTACTATTGCCTAACTTTGATTTTGTTCTGAAAGGCAATTAATTATCTTTTTTCAAAGATATTCAGGTAACTTTTTTCAGCACTTAAAAGATACTTCAAAGGGAGCATGTGCTAAACGTCTCTGTAGGCATTGCTTACTGTGTTGAGGATTTACTCAATATTTGAAACAGTAGAATCCTATTCTACTTTTAACTTTTTTTTATTCTTAATTTTACAAATAGTGAATCAGCTCCCTCTGACATGGGACGTGTAACATTCTGTATACAATGTTCAAAGTAGATAAACCATCTGAACTAATTTCCCCTTTGAATCTAAAGAAGTAAATGCATATCTTTTTCATCATCTGTCCTTCATATGGGGGAGAGCAGAAGATAAAGATTTGTCTTACCAAGGAATCTGCAACTGACTTTACAGCAAACCCCTAAAATGCATAATTCATTTTCCAAACAAGATGCTGCCAAACTTGGAGAGTTTGTATCTAAAAACATCCTGATGTGATTTTATCCAGCAAACTCATACCATTATTATTCTTGGCCTAGCTTCCTAAGATATTGAAAAAGTGTAATCATGATGTGTGTCTTCCCCTAATAACTTCTATGGACACGGCCAACTTCAATTGCCTTTTAAGAGGAACAGAGATGTCAAATGTATTCAGTTCCAGAAGGTTGTTAAACTGAAATGAGGAGAAGCTCCACTGGAAAATGGCAACAGTTTTAGACATCAGTGAATGTGAAACATCATGGGAATCCTAGGTCTGGGACAGGTTTCATCGGCATTTGCACTACAGATCAGACAAGATCTACCCACAAGACAGAATGTTATGGATTAGACCTCAGTAATGTTGCTGCCCACAAAACTGTTTTCTATAGAGTGACTGATAATTTTTACATTTTTTTAAAGACAAAAGTGTTCAAGTAGTCCCAGTCTGATGCACATGAAATGGCTGCCAGCATCTGCCATCCAGACTGCCTGCTAATTCCATAGAAAATTTTGCCTTTGCCTCCTGAGAATCACTGCTGCCATTCCCTCTCCCCAACTTACTAAGAGGAGGACCTGGAGTTCTACTAGTGTGAGGCACTTCAACCCAGAAGCCATTATCCCTCTGTCACGTTCTGTGAGCAGTCCCACAACTGGTCTCCAGCCCTGCCTCCTAAAAACAGCTGGACAGCTAATCACATGAGCCATAAAATCTCATGCAGTAATTTCATCACAATTATATTTGCATTAGTTCATGACATTGTTATAACTTTGGTTTACTGTCGGAATGCTGCGTCTCTGCCTTCTTTTCTTGTAAGCATAATCATACAATTATGCTCCATCTATAAGAACTATAAAGCCACTAAAAACACACTGAATTGAAAAATGACACAGTCTCTCTGTCAAGATTTTTCCTGGAACTGATAAATACTATATAGACTGCAAGAGAAATTGAAAATAAACTTTCAAATATGTCTCTAAGAGCAAACCAATTTGGACAGTCTTATGGAAACTTGAAAATAAGTTCAAGCCACAGAGATTTAACATAAAAAGGCAGAAAGAGCAGATCCTTAGGTTCTGTAAACACACAGAACATTATTTGTTTTGACTGAAAGATTTCCCACTATATTCTTAAAAATACGTTTACTTACATAATACAAAATTGTACATACAGAGAATAATGTACATTTTATACCCTGATATCATCCATCCCATGTCTCAGATGAAAACCAGTTGCACTATATGCCTTAAATATTTTGTCACCTGGAAGGTTAGCTAGAAAAACAAATGCCTAACAATTTTATTGTTCAGCTCTTGAAAGAATTCTGGTTTTCATTACAGCAATGAATAGTTATAAAAGCTGCATTTCAATGACTGTATATGGTACCACAGACTGACATTAGGTACCTAAATGAAGCCCATGGTGAGAGTAAATAATGGCATTATTTCCATCATTGGTCACTGGATATTTGCAATCAATTGCTATGGAATTCAAGTCTTTAATGGCATCTAGAGCATGGACAGTCAAAGCATTTACCATTCCATCACTTTCCTTATGCTCTTAATTAGTTAAGATGACATAGGAAAAGCCATCTCTGGCATTATGAAGCCCCATATATGTAGCCAAGTCACAGCTTTTGTGATTCTAAGCAGGTCATACCAGAAAAAGCCCAGCATACCAAGAGAGGTGGGCACTAGCCATGCAGCACCAAACATGCCACAGATCTCATCTGTGTCCTTCAAAAAAAAAAAAAAAAAAAAAAAGGTGGGCATGAGAGGAGAAATGGAAGAGATTGGGCATGCACTCTGTGATCCTAGGTGCCTCCCTCCACAAGTAGATGGCAAAGCAGGGTACTTGAGCTAGAAAGGGCAAAGCAGAGCCAGGGAAAGGGAGTGATGGGAACAAGGTATGCTCAACAGTTATTTATTTCTACAGCTGTACAGGAAATTTCAGCAGCTGGCAGCCTGCCTTGGCAAGCCACACCTTGTCACCCCTTCTGAGCAGACAGAAAAGAAAGAAGGGGAGCCAAGTGAGATCTCTCTGTGGGTTCAGCCACCAGTCCACTTGGAGCCAGCAGTATCCCAAATGTGATGTTTGAGTACCTGCTTTGCTTTGCTTCTGGGTTAGAGATTCCTGCTTCACCCTCAAATTGGGGAACAGTTGTTGGCCTAAGTGTTGGAATGGCAAATGCTGGTAGGACTGTGAAACACAGAAAGGTTAGATGCTTTCCCTTCTCAGCATGGGAAAGGGCTCAGCTGAAGTACTCTGCTCCATTTGGACTCCACACTTCACACATGGAGCCAAATGGAGATAGCCCTGAGGAGAGCGATAGAAATCAGAAAACCTGAAATACAGGGAAAGACAGAATAAACAAGATGTTTAGAGAAAAAGGCTGAGAAGAGACTTGAGAACAATCTTTGGTGTATAAGGCTGCAAAAAGAAAAGGAGAGGAACAAACTATTTTCCAGGTCCAGTGTAGACAGGATAAGAAGCAATATGCTTCATTTGCAGTACAAGAAATCAGGGCAAAGGAGTCCTCTAGCAAAAAAGAAACTAAACACTGACGAGTTTGTCTGGAGAGCTCATTATGGGTGGTATTTAAGAACAGACCAGACAGATCTCTATGGCAAAGTGATGTTGGTTTAGCGGATCCTTCCTTGGGACAGGGAGTGGACTTCTTTTCTGAGATCATAGCTTGAGAAACTCCAAATGAGGTAAATTGTGTGTCATGGTCACGCTACAGACCCCGAGACATCACATGTGAATGAAAGTCAGCAAGGACTGTGCCATGCTAAAAGGACAAATGGATTCCTTGGCACTTCAGCAGAGGACTGTGGGTACTTCTTTTGGCCACATAATGTGTGTGAAACATTACCTATTGACATTCCTTTCCCTTTGCAACTTCCAAGTGATTTCTGCTTATTTGGGAGCTGATTCAGACGACAGGCTTTGTTGGGTCACCATTAGGGCCTCCCTTGGCCTCCTTTCCCATGAGGGAGGAAGTGGTCTGGAAAAAAAAAGTCGTATCCTCACAATAGTGGTTAGAAATCACAGCTTTTTTGGAGGGTTGAGACAAATCTCTTAAATCTGCTTCCAAATTTGGATTGACAGGGACACTTAGCATGCCTACAGTAAGCAGAGGCCTGGGGTGAGAAATAGACTATATCTAAGTTAAAAAAAAGAGGACTAAAGAGAGCTACATCACACATACCTCCTGTATTTGTAAAGGGGCCAGGAGCCTTCTGGCCACTCTCAGCTCAGGTGAATCCTCTTTTTCAATCAACCCCACACCAGCAGGAATCCTTCCAGGAAGGGTTGCCACGCTTTTCTCCTGGTGGTGAGACAACCTCCTTGCCCTCATTCAGCTCTGCAAGAAGCACGTTTTCGTGAGTGCTGCAGTTTAGGGAATGCAGGAATGTTAATTATTAGAGCTTCAAAAGATACAAGTTCCAGTGGGCTGGATTTCAGAGCTCTGAATGAAATGAAAACCTCATCTTAATCTCCCCTGGCCCACAGTTTGTGTTGTTAGTGAAAAAAAGAATTGAGTACACACACAAGATGGTTTACCAGCACAAAACAATAGTGCACAGCTTTAGGACTTGGGGACATATTAAAGTAGGAGCTGTTGTTGGGCAATGCTCTTATACAGACTTACCCTTCACTGCTGTTAAGAAAATTCCACTGGAAGATTTCAGTGTTATGTTTACAGTGCTCTCCTTTAAAGCAGATGTAAATAGATCCCCTCCTTCTCTACTGTTTGTTTGGAGTTCACATTTCAGTTCCTATGCTGTGACCATGTTATATAATGGGTGCCACTTGGATTCTGAATGCCGTAAGCAAAAAAGAATCACTTAAAAATATATCAGAATTGAGTTTCTCTGTCTGGAGTTTCTCATCATGCCCCAAGATAGTTTCTTGCTGTTCCTCCCCATTTGCAGAAGAATATGTAAAGCTGTTATTTTGCCTACCTCTCTGAATGAGGAAGCCTGTGAGAGAAGCAAAAAAACTTATGAGTTATGTTCATCCTCTGGCTGCCGAAAAGCTGTGATTTGAGTCACTGGATGCAGGAAGAACAGCACAAATACTTTTCCATCTCTGGTTATACAGGTAAGACAGCACAATCCAGGGCAGAAGTTCAAAATTTGGTCTGTTATGTCTGTTATGCCCAGGCTCCTACTGTGGTACACAGAGACAAAACTAGCTTGTTTAGGTTATGATTAAGATTATGAGATGGCTCATCTAGTAAAAGATGAGACCAGACAGTATCTAAAGGAATATGAGGTGTCTGCACAGGAGGGAAGGAAGAGTAATTCATTCACCCATGAGAGCCTCCATCACAGCTGAGCACTGAAGAAAACAGTACAACCACATTCTGTACCCTCAAAAGCATTTTTTCATCGAGTGAGAGAAAAAAAAAAATCACATGAAGATGGACTCAGACATGGATGCATGCCTCCTCCTAATAGAGGCAGACACATGAGCTTCTCCTTGCCAGCACACTGATGCAAGCTGGCTGAATTTCAGAAGGTGCCAATCTCCATCTCCTTCTACTCTTCAGTCACTCTGTTTTACGAACTGCAGAGGTGAAGTGGTTGCCATTTCTGAAGGTCAAAATCTTTGCTATTCACTGCTAGCATGTGATATGTCTTCTCCTCTCCTGATGGCTGCAGCATGTGTCTGAATGGATGTGGCCCAAGGTAGAAGCACGAACCCCTAACTCTTGTTCTGTTTCTTACTTGCTGGATGGTCTGGGGAAAGTCACTTCAATCTTCTGTGCCTCAAGTTTCCCATATGTGAACTGGTGCTACTGAGACCTCTTCAATGTTTCTGGAAATGGATGTCTGAAATGTTCTAGATCCTGTAAGCAGTTTATTTCCCCAACAGTTCTAAAAAATTACAGGGGACACTCTCAAAAATACAAGTAAGTATACAATACAAAAAGTTAGGAAATTTCCAGCAGTTCAGACTCACAGGAGAAGGAGTAAAATCCAAACCTAAGAAACTGTCTAGTGAGAATCCAGAGTTTCTCATTCAATTAAAATATAGACAGCTAGCTCAAACTCCACTTCTTACCTCACTGCCTGTGACTAATTCACAAGGGTTCCCTTGCACCCAAAAAAGGGAGGATTTTTTGTGAGTAGGTGAAAGAAAAGTTTGAGGGAGGTCTCTCTGCAACCTATAAAAACCATGCATATTACACTCTCAACACGTTCTAAAAACATCAAGATTGAAAAATTGCATTTCAATACAGCCAAGAGTTCAAGTACTATAAAAGCACCATTAAAATGTACATTTGTATTGCATCACTGAGGCAGAGCATCAAAGGATACACATTAGAATTTTACTTCACTGGCTTTAATATAGGCATTGCTATGTCCTGGCTGTACTAGGACTATCACTTTATGACTTTGCCTTTACCATCCAAATAAATACATGAAGTGCTAGAAGTTGTTTCAGTGGACTGCACTGAAGAATATAGTTCTTAAAAAAAATAATAGTGCATACTTTGCATTTGACTGGCTAATCACCTACACAATTATGAATGAGTGTGCAATCGTGAAAACTAAACTATTAGACTTAACATTTGCCAGCACAGGCTTTTGTGGTAGGGCTGAAATGAAAATCTTCTGTTCTGAGATGAAAAACTATGAAATCTGGATTAAAGGGCATAGTTAATCAACTGCTGATGGTGGTAGTTATATGGACTCACTAAAAGATAAAGACAAAAGCACTATTTTAGGGCCACATTACACATCTGCTGTTCTGCACACAACATTGAAAACCTGGAAATAAATCATCGGATCTGCTTTCTCTTACGGGAGAAACTTTGAACCAGGGTTTTCAAGCACACAAAATATCTCTGATAGTCACTGCTGTACTACATCCTGTTATGTCCAAATTATTTTCACTAGAACTTCCTACAAAATTGGAGCCTGTGTGTCGTGGTTTGACACAGAAAAAGAATTTTTCCAGAAGGAAGAGGTCAATTTGGACATTGACCAATTGAAGGTAGAGACGCCTCTGAGAACACAGAGGGGTTAAAAGCAGAATTCCCAGGAAAACTTGCTCTCTTGGGTTCCGGTCAGTGGTCAGTGCAGGACTCTCCCCTGCCCGGTGACGAGCTGGGTGGGGGAGGGGAGAAGCCATGTGGCCTTTGGAGGTAGGCCCAAGGGTGGAGGGACTGGAACCGGGCTGGCCCCCTGCAGATGGAAGGGTGGAGAAATCTGGGATATCTCCGTTCCCCCCCAGAGTCTCTCTCTCCCAAGAGAGAAAAAGAGACGGCGGTGGTTTTGCCAGCAGTTCACCGCGGGGAAGGAGAAGAGCCGGGGGGCCGCAAGGTGCCCAGCCGCCTGTGGGAGCTGGAGCCTGGGCAGCAAGCCATCTCTGGGAGTTGGGACTTTTAACCCTTCCTGAGAAATGAAGGCTTTGTGAAATTTTTCTCCTCCTTGGTTTGAAAAGAGAGGAAGAGAGACAGCCTGGGACTTGGGATGTTGGAAGGAGAAATTCTAGGTGGGAGGAGATGATGGAGTGGCTTTTGGCTGGGAGGAGATGATGGAATGGCTTTTGGCTGGGCTTTTTCTTGGTAGCCACAGACTGTAGACTGAACTGATCTTCTCCTCCAAGAGAGACTGTATTTTAGGAGGATGCCGGTGAGCCAAAGAGACCATGCTTCAGCTGGGAAAAGACAGAAGTGGAGCGAACAGAGAAAAGTTAAGGAGGTTTGTGGTGGTGCTCCCTGTCTTCACAGAGGAAGAAGAGAAGATCTCTGTTCTTGGGCCCTCGGCCCCAGGGGAAAATGGGGGGGGACTGTTGGTCCCAAAAATGAAAAACTGAACTGTTGTTTTTTCCCCTCTTGGCAGGGCATCCTTGAAAGGAAAAATCCTAAAAGCAGTCTGTCCATCCATGCATTGGTGGTGAGAGCACTGTGCGTGGAAAGGAGAGGGTCACCATTGGCAAACTTTTATTCTCCGGGCGGTGCCATGTGGTGACATGGAAGCACAGGATGTGGCAGCTGTGTTTCTTGGGGGGGTCTGTGGCACAAGAGAGACTCCTCTCTCCCTGCAGATGGACTGGGTGTTGATTATCTGGAGGGTGGAAACCTGACTGGGGTCCAGATTGTGTCTAACTGTGGTTTGTTGGAGTTGGGTGGTGGGAGGAGGAATGCTTTGGAAGGTTTTCATTTTGAGTTGTGTGTGTTTTCTTTCTTCTTTTTTCCCTCTTTTATAGTAGCATAGTGGTAGTAGCTTAATAAAGGTCTTTTCTTGTTATTAGGCTTGGGCCTGCTCTGCTCTGTTCTCGATCGCATTTCGCAGCATTCAATTGAGAGATTGCATTTTCATGGGGGCACTGGCATTGTGCCAGTGTCAAACCATGACACTGTGTGATAATTCATTTTGTATTCACCTGTATATTCATTCCATCCATTTCTTAATTATATTTCCAACCAATTTCTAACACTGGTAGACTTGTGAAAGATGGCCAAATTCTTCCTTTTTCTTCCTGAAAATAGACAGATGCATAGAGATGCTATCAGAGTCCTGGCTCTGAGAAAACTTGCAGTTGTGAGTTCAAGATATGAGAGAAGCCTCATGGGAGAAATCCCTTGTATAAACACCCCACTGATGGGAAAAGCTTTGCCTGGGGCTCACATCCTCTTAGATAGTGAAAGTCAATCACCCATGAGACAAAAGACTATAGGAAACCAGGCTTCATTAGTTCTGCTGCCACAAAATTTACTTGTTAAACAAAATGGCTATTCCAGGATTTCTGAAGAAGAGCACTGTACTGTAGGCATGCACATGTCTGGATTTTTTTTTTTTCCTTTTTCACTAAGTACTTCTGTTAAATAAGCTGTAAGTTGTGTGTCTAACTCACCAAAATGTACAGTCACACTGCCATCAATAGCAAGACAAATTGGTGACCTATGAAACACATGAGAGTTGAGCAAAGGTTTGCACAAACAACTCATAACACAAATCTACCGAGAACAAAGAATGAACAATTTAAACTACTTGCCTACTTTGCCAACACATGATGCTTGATTTTAAGTAAATTTTATTTTTAAAGTAAATCTTTAGCAGAACATGGAGGGGAAAAAACAACAAAAAAAGCCTGAAAGCAAGCTGTTCAGAATTTTCTTTTCAGCAGAATATAGTGTCCTAAATTTTCAGCAGTGGTTTTGCATGCCAAAACATCTGAAATAAGATTAATTATCAGAGAGCAACTTTGAAAACATAGATAAAATCCCCCAAGCCTATTTTGATGTCTCAGAAATACAGTATACAAAATCCTTTAACTTTTATTTCTAATCAGGAGTATACTTTTTCACTTCTTGGAATTCTCACTTTGTTTGGGAGAGAAGGAAATCTAGTCACAAAAGTCCCTCTGTGCTCTTGATGATTGGCATTCTTCAAACACTAAAGCAAGTTACAAACTGTAACAATCTCTCCTTCAAATTCTGGATTTCACACATACACACACAAAATACCCTTCACATCCTGGAAAGATTCTGCTATTGTGATTGCACCAACGTTCACAAAAATAACCTGGAGACTTGGGCCAGGGTCAAAGAATTGGATCTTTTCTGCTCTTCAGTATGACCAGTCTGAAAAAATAAGGCTCAGCAGCCTTCTTCCCTGGTGGTCTGTCAGTATGGATGTATACTGGTTTACATTTTTCAGGTCTGTTTCAGGAAGTAGGCTACAGACTTTAAAGGAAAACAACCCAAATTCACCTCAAACCTAGTGGACAACCACCATAAACCTCATCAGACTCTAGCTCAAAAGCCTCAGAAAACAGAGAGGATGAATGTGACCACAGCCCCACATATGAAATATGCACATTGGTATGGACAGAGATCCACTCACTGGGTCTGGAAAGCAATTGCTTGGAAGATTTACTAATTGTCCCATACCTCTTATTTTTCCATCCTTTTCTTATATTTTTTCATTTTTCTTCACAAAGAAAATATAGTCTGTGAACGTCTGCAGTCACACAAATCAAAAGTTCCTCTATTTAGTCTCTAGTCTATATTGTTCCCAGTTAGTAGGTTGACAGGAAAACACTTCAAGGCTGTAGCCAGATTAATACTGTTGTAGATTAGTATTTTCCTTACCCATCTTAAGCCTTACATAAACCAAGTCTTTATCTTTACTCTTTTAAACCTCTTGTTTCTCCCAGCCCTTTTAAAATCCCCATATTCTTTCTCTTTGCACCTTAAAAGTTGATTCAGTTTGCTATCTCCACCATTTCCAGTTTATTCCCTTACCATGAGAGTTGCGTTATGTCTTCTCACAACTCCTTCCTGTCCAGTTTTCAGTTCTCTCCACCCAGGTTTTAAAAGACTGGAGTAACAACAGAATGCAGGAGGTAACAGAGGACCAGATGAGCTACAAGAAACACTGATAGCGGGAAAACATTGAGAATTCTGTAATGGAAGAAATACCTACTGATTTTTTCTAGCTTGGCATGCCATAACTACTCTCTGCCTCACAATGCTCTGCCCCATAAGCAAGTTTCCATGTCCTGTGCAGAGCTGACTGGTATTGCTTCAATTAAAAGCAATTTTCCATTGAATGAAGATGTTTAGATAGGGGATTTTACCATGGGTCTCTTGAATCCCAGACAATTACAGCTTCTTAGACGATACATACATGCCTCTCTTTACAGATTGTTAATCAAGCCATTTTGCAATTATTTTTTTTTACATTGTTTCCTTTTTTCAGTACCTTTGGTGAATTGCATTGATATATTCCCTAATCAGTCTTTGTCTGTAACTCAGTGGTTGAGTCACCAGCCCTGGAGATATTTAATAGATGTGTAGACAGGGCATTTATTAGGGCTATGATTTAGTGGTGGACTTGGCAGTGGTTAATGCTGGGTTAATGGTTGGATTTGATCATCTTAAGAGTCTTTTCAAACCTAAATGTTTCTGTGCTTGTAAATGGTTAACTAATACCAGAACCCTCACCACCTAAACTCTGTGGCACTTAAGCATCACTACTTTAAGTCCCTTCACCATTTTTAAATCATATTGATGCATACATTCAAGCTGATATCAGAATTTGTACACTGCATATTCCATGGTCCTCTACTGATTTAGTTGTTCTGTAAAAATAGCACAGTCATATGTGACATGTTTATGTCTGTTAGTGACATAAACAAGGGCTATGACTGGAATGGCAATAAGCTATATGTAGGCAAATGCTCATTGAAAAGAGAAGTGACCCACAAGAGTCCAGCATCCTGTGAAACACAAATTAAGGCAGTAAGTGCTCCAGTGCAGATATCTGATCCTGCACATTCCAGCCTCTCTGGGACCTTGATCTTCTGATTCTCCCCTCTCCTCCCATCTCTGTAAATAGCATTTCTTATTATGAACTACCCCACATCTGGCAGAGGATTGCTTATGCCAAGCTGAACTACACCCTTCCCCTGGGCAATAAGGTCAGCAATCATGATAAACACAGCAGTACAGGAATTTCACACCTTATAAAATTTTTGTTTACAAGTAACAGCAGTGATTACTCAAAAAATTCTCAGAAAAAAAAAAAAAAAGATGAAAAAAATTTAATCAGATCTGTAGACATAGTAATTAGGTTGTAGCCACTACCAGTTATCAATTTACCCAACAGTCTGTGTCATTCTTTATTCTTTTGCTTTTTCTCTAAGAAAGCAAACCCCCTGCAGTCCTGAGAGGAGAAATATCATTTAAATACCCTGCCCATGCAGCACAGAGCCCTGAGTGAGATCCTTTCCTTACTCCCCAGAAAGAAAAAAAACCAAGAGGGCGCCTTCTGGAATATATTTTGCTTACTAGCTTGAGACTAATGAGATTTGGAGACTATCCGAACTATCCACTCTTGTAGCCTTCCCTTAACATAATTGCTCCAAGCATATTCCCACTGGGAGCAGGCAGCTGGAAGACATTCAGCACTTGTGAGCTTCTGCATCCTTTCTATGTGTGGCATGGATGGCCAACCACAAAGAAGCACCAGAGACACCATCTGAGAAGAGGTGAGGAGCAGCTTCCTCAGCCTGACTGTTCAGGATGAGCACAGACCCAGGGCAGGTGGGTCACACAGCCATGGCAGAGAAATACCTGCTTCAGAGCAGTCACACTTCCAGCCTGGAGCTGACACTTCTCAGCTGAGATGGAAGGACCCTGGTGCCACCAAAAAACCTGCTGCAGTATCCCCAGCCTACAGCGTGTCTCTCCCCACTCCAGTTTATTTGCAAGTATCACAATACTTAAAGTGGGAAGTTGACTGTTTTCTACCTTCCCATACAAGTGCTCTCCCCCAGTGCACGGCCACAAACAACACACAGGAAAGGGTAAAGAGATGGGAACCATCAAGTAATCAAACCCCCTGAAGCTCTGGAAGCCAGACTGCACCACACCCGAGTTACAATGATCCTTGCAGGGTGCCATTAGCTGCACAAGGTTGGAGAGGGAAGGTTTGACACGCCAAAACCCAATCTCTTTCTCTCACTCAGAGTTTTGGCAACAAAGCCTACTTCATGGCTCAGGCTTTCTACATTTAGAAAACTCTCTCCCATGCTGAAAACACCACTCAGGGACTTTCCAGACCCTTCAAAGCTATTGGAAATGGCAACAACATGTGTCCTCCTCCACTCTCATCAGAGAGTTATTTAGGAGTTAGTTCCTATGTGTTCATCTTAAAAATACTCAGAGCACAAAAATAAGTCATGCCTGAAGGTCAATTAAATTGAAATCTTCCAAACAGTGTTAAAAGTGCCCCACTAGATGCAGCTAAGAGTAAAGACTGGGATTTATTTCCCAACACCTTTCATATAGCTCAGTCAGGACTATGCCAATATCAAGAGGGAGACAGGGAAATATTCCAGAGGGTTAGATCTTTCATCCCTCTTCCTTTCTGTGTAGAGATGTGGACAGACAGAAAGAAATGGTGGCAGTGTGCCCATCACAAAGTTGTGTGCCATGAGCAGGGACACATAAAATGGGGTTACAGAAAACAACAGCTACACCTTCCTTTGCCACTCAGCCATGTGCTGTTAAATTTACAGGTTCTTTACAAAGCAGACAGCTATGGCCTGGCTGTCCCACCAGTGCTGTCAGCTGTAGCTGGAATTTAGCACATGGGGGACTGCAGGCATGCATGAATTTTGGATTTCTATTTCTTCCTGCAAATTAAATCCTTTTACAGTTATATTTCTCTAAAGATATTTGAGCCATTAATGTATGTTCTGTGCAGCTGCATATATATGCATGTTCTTTGACTGTATATAGAAGTTACAGCTGCTATATTCTCAGAAAAGTGTAGTATATAAAAAAACCATAAAGGTGGAGATAGGAGCTGACTAAATGAATGCAGAAGATTAAAATCCTTCTTCAGGGGCAGAAGAAAGTTGTTAATTTTAGTAGTTACTACTCACTAGCAAGTTTGATTACTTGATGGTTCCCATCTCTTTACCCTTTCCTGTTTAATTATTCTCCCTTATCAGTCATTTGAAGATTAAAACCTTCATGCCTGGCTTAATTCAGTCTTGTCCTCTTTTATGTTTTCTTGTCAAGACTGCTGTTATCTACTACTTCTTCCATCTGTGGCTTATTTTTCTGTCAGGGCAACAAGCTTCTCTTTGTCAGCTTCCCAAGGTCACTTCTGGGACATCTTCCATATGTATAACTACATGTAAAATCAATGGGTCTAAGGTCACCTGCAAAGCCCTTTGCTTTTTACACGGCCTTACCTCATGTCTCCTCCAGCTGTTCACAGGAGTTCACAGTAATTTGTACATAAAATGAATGTACTAGAAAGTGACGTTCTTATTCCTCTGCCTATTTGGCAATCCTCGGGCTGTGGTTTTCTTGGAGTAGGAACTGTATTCTTCAGCTATGTCTAGACTGGTCAAACTAACAGTGTCTGAGCACAGACCCACCCCAGTCACCCGCCCAGCTGAACTGGTAGAATGGCCTCTGGCATGGATTTGGTTGAGGCCAGCTCACTCTCTTCCAGGCATTATGTGGGCACAGTTCAAGCTCGGACATTAAGATGGGCCATGAACCATTCCCAGCTGAGTCCCATGTTTGGGGAGAGAAGCGTTTCTGTGTGTGGATGTGAACTCTGCTATGCCAACATGGAGCAGGCTGACATCCTAAAGACGTTCCTGTAATTCCCAGCTCTTGCACAGGGACTGCTTGGGATGTGTGCAGTGCCCATGCCTGGGGGATCTCAGCCATGACTGAGATCTCAGCTTGCTGCCTGAACCTCAGTGACTAAACAACAGCTTTATTTTTCCATTCCTAAGATTTTATGAGTGCATAAGAAAATATTTTCCTTCCTTCCCTCCCTCCCCCCCCCCCCCCCCCCCCCCCCCCCCATTACTGGAGTATCCCTTTCATAAGGCACAGAGGCACTTTACTTAACACTTCAATGAGAAAACTCAATTCCAATCTCCCTTTCATTTGAGAGAAGCTAAGAAAAAGGATCAGAAGTCTGTGCACTCCCATTCTCCTCCTTGAGCCATCTGCCTTACCTTTGCTGACTCAAGGGTTAACAGGGAGTAGCCAAGTCTGCCAGGGACTTTCTGTCCAAACTCTGCCTGTGAAACTTGTGGGTTCCTCTTTAGGGACTACACCAGAGCAGTGGGACCTGAAGAGATTTCCCAATTTCCCTGATTCCAGAAAAGCTGTGCTTCAGGGGAAAGGAGGGCTTGGGGGAGGTACACAGCCTCTCAAAAAGCGTACTGAAAACAAGACAGCTGTTAATGAGTTGCAGCAGGGAAGGCTAATGTGTGAGGTGGTGATTGAAGGCAAGGAAGATGCAACAAGACTAGCAGTTGCAAAATTTGCACTATTCAGAGGGTGTTCCCATGATGCTGGAGGGAGAAGGGTGTCAAAGATCCCCTTCATGTCACTGCAGATAAAAGCTGCTATTCCTTCCTGTTAGGCCCCTCTCAGAGCCCAGGGAAGAGAAGGAAAGATAAACAGGAAACTAGGAGGCCATTATCTGTCTCTTATGGGTCCTAATAAAGAAGAACTTGGCGGCAAAAGCCACAAGTAAGAAAGGAGAAAAGACAAGCAAGAATGGCTGTGCATGTCCCCTGCTGTCAACAACACACACTTACATCTCGATGCCTTTCTTGGGCATCAAAGTGCTGGAAGGCAAAGGAAAAGACTGATGCCTGGAAAAGTGGGCATCTTGTTGCTTGCATGGTTCTGATAATAGCTCATGGAGGTTCTCCTGCTACTATGGCTTAGTGGCAAAAAAAGCAAATAAGGACAAGGAGAGTGTGTGCATATTCTTATATAGATTTTGTTCATAAATGAGAAAAGTCTGAAGAATAATTCAAATCTCTCTTAACTGGGATTCTTAGTGAGAGCATTGCTACATCATCCTTTCCAACTGCAGGCACAGAGCTGAGCCCTGAGGTCTTCCAACCCCCGTCTCCTAAACCCCTCAAACACCATGGCTGCACTGCAGTCAATATTTACAAGTGAGACTTATAAAACAACTTTATACCCATGCCCTCATTCTGCCACAATTAAACATGACCTCCAGAGCTGTTCTGAGATCACTGATGGTATCAAGAGCAAAAGGGACAGTAATTTGTGAAGACATGTTAGCATTGTTCGCCTTTAAAAGGCACAAACACACACACTTACGTGCCCTCGCACACACACAATTTTGCCAAGCATTACAGCAAATGTTATTTTTAAGCTTCTGTCAAATAGATGCATGACTGCTGTGGGGATTTTATATGTTTAAAATGTCTAGTATGATTTCAGATATTTTCCTCTTAAATATCTACTTTAAAAAAAAAAAAAAAATTCCAAACAGGTATTGAAATACTCACAAAGCCTAAACACATTTAAGCTTGCAGAAAGGTACATTTAAGGCTGACAAGACTGTTGAAGTAACTTTGAAGAATCACTACTTTTTCAAGGATATATATATATATATATATATATATATATATATATATATATATATATAGTGCTGGATTTTGGCCTGATAGATTTACATGCACACAGAGGTAACTTTTCTCCACTGCATCCAATGAGAATATGCAAACAAATCAGGCTCACATGCAGAACAAGTCAGAAGAGCTACTGTTTTAAACTCTGAGGCCTCAGTTTTAGGAAGCATTCTTTATAATACAAATCCTCAAGTGAGTAGAAAGGCTGTTTCACCGAGTTTCTCAGGGGAAGTTCATGGCCTCTGCATTTGACAGATCAAAATAACACTGCTGCTCCATTCCTGAAATGGTGATGCAATATTTTCACTAGAACTCTTAGAGAGAAAGTCTGAAGAAAAAAACTAAAACACCCTAGATTAAATTTCAGTGATAATAAATCAAGGCATGAATGCTTGAAACAACTCAAATGTAATTGCTTGTCTGCACAGATACTACCTTGCCATCCCATAATACAAACCCCATTTATTTTCACTGATGCAGAAACTTGCCGTAGAAATGTCATTACAGCAAGAGCAGCATAAGGGAGGATATCAGGTTTTCCTCTGGATTTATGCCTTGGAAGGTAAGCATAGCTGAACTACATCCAAAACACATCCAAGCAGGATGTGACAACATATCCCAGTTGTATTCACTGTTACCACAGTAAACTACCTTCATTGCTGTCCCAATAGTTTCAGAAGAAGTAGACTTGTATGAAAAATAGAAATAATTCACAATGTTCAAAATAACTTCTAGTATGAATGTATGAGAAAACATCCAGAAAAGATCTAAATACCTTCTTAAGTTCTTTGGCTCAGTTCCCCAAGCTTCCCCATGTGGCATCAAACTGATCACTCAGCTAAAGGCATTGCCAGCAAAACAACACAGGATTCAACTGCTTTTGGAAAAAAAAATTGCAAACCATTCCTTTTAGAAACCAAACCAACAAACAAATCATCACACTGCGGTATTCACAAAATGGTATATTTTTCACGCAGTTAAACCTCATGGAAATAATAAAACCTTAACCAGAAACTCTAAAATTAGGCTCAGGCAGAAGACTTGAAAGAGCATAAATCTAAAACTCTCGTGATAGCCACAAGAGACTTGGTTACAGCCAGTGATATTATGCAGCAGGCATTCAAACACTGTAGTAGCAGGTGGGAGCATTCATGTGCAGGAACGATAAACTAGGAAAAAAACCCCACAGTTTCAGACAAGTCACCTTGTGAAGCAGAACATTCCAGATTGCTTTGCTTTGTCTCGAGGTGGAGGGAGGATCACTACATGCAAGAAATGTGTGCTTGTGTGTTCTAAGAGTGGTCTACAATACCTGCAGTAAGTTGGGCAGTTGGTGCAACCCAATCAAAGCAGAAAACTCTTGGTTTTATCCAAGAGCATGACACATTTAAGAGTAGAATAGACACAAGATACCAAGGAAACAGGATAAGCAAAGGTTTAACCTCAGACTGAATCTTCATCCAAGATTTCAGGAAACATGGAAAAATCCTACCTACCTCAGTGCCAATCTTCTTGATTAATAGCTTGCCAGAAGTTTGCTATAGTTCTGATTTGGAACATATCAGAATCCATATTTGACAACTCTTTCTGCAGTGAGACAGCACATGCAGGCAGCAGTGAGCATCTCACTGCCTGTGCCACCTCTGAATGTTGTCCTAACACTGCATGTCCTTGGTACTATCACCGCTTCATTTCATTTTATGGACTTCACTTCTCACACTGTTTCCATGGCCAGTTACTTTCTTCTCCTCCCTCCATTAATTTATAAATTAGACAGGACTCAAAGTTCTGTTTGGAACTGTGTAAGTTATTCTACGTCAATTCTTTACAACTGGCTTTATGCACCTATCAGCTTTCTTAGAGATAAAAAAGGGCAGTAAAAGCCCTTGTGAAGTACAGACCAAATGCAAGACATACTTCAGCTACAAAAAAACCCTTCTCTGCTTAGCATGACAATAAATTAAGACTACAAAAAATAAATAATTTATTACCTTGCCAAATTTATTAATTTTTTGCCTGTTTTTCACTGGCAAACTGAAAATGCAGACTGATTGACACTATGTTCACTATGCCTGGCTTTAGGACTGCATAGAATTTAGTCAAATTAAAAATTTCTGTAACAGGAGGCGATAGCATAGGCAGTAGCAAAACCTAAACGGACTGCTACAAATAAAACAAGTAAAAAAGTTGCAGGTACCTCTGGAGCATTCCCTCAGACCACACGGGCTGTTAACAAGCTGTGCAGAATGCTGGTGTTTGTGCCTGAAGTTGATTCTTTTAACTTTGGGCTATTGCCAAAGAGTGATTTTTTACTTTTCTCTCCAGCTGCATCTGTTACTTCTGGTTGGTATGCCACCTCCCTCTGGCAATGTATGGTCTGCTTATTCACTGCTCCAACTTTCACTAAGGAAAGACTAGTGTTTTCCTGTCTGATGAAGAGTGCTAATTTTTTTTCCTTGTTTCAGCAGATCAACAGGGACCATCATCACCATCCCTGGACTGCTGTTCTTTCCTCCACAGTCTGAGTTTTCTGGCAAACACTTATGGTGCTCTTAAGCCCCCTAAAACATAAAGGTCCTTGCCCTCTGTCTCATCCCCAAGGGCCTTAGCCAAGACAAAGGGGAAAATGCCCTTTTCCCACTCCTTCAAGTAATTCTCACATCACTACAAATTAAATTTTCCATGCTGTTGCCAGCTACTCTCTACAATAATTGCAATCTTAAGGTCCTTGCTAGCATCTTTCCTATTAAGACCTCAAAGACAAACGTTAAAAAAGCAGGGAGGAGCTTTTACAGGGAGGGGATGGTGAAATAGTACTGCTGGTAAGGGACAAAATGAAATTGCTGTGATGCAGAAGCACATAAAGTACTATAAAAATTAGGAGTGTTTTTCCAGGGACCAAAGGTCCCAAAACTGGCAGAAGGCTGAGAGATCACAAAGATGGGCAAGTCAAGTCTGTGCCAGAGAGGGTGGAGAAAGAAACACAAAGGTAGTTTCTGTGCTTGTAGGATCGCCATTCCAGTGAGCAGAAACTGAAAAGCAGTTCCTAAGCAGGAAAAATCCTTGGAAGTGGATGTAATGATTGCATTTGAGACAGAAAGAATATGATGCTCATCTAGAGATGGCAGTGGAAAAAAGAGGAATTGTAGGGGTTAACTTCTAAAAGCAACTCAAAAATGTAGCTGCTTCACTTCAGCAGTGATGTCATTAATAGGTTAACTTGCAGTTTTGAAGATCTTCATGCTGTTAAACCCAGTTTTCCATTGCATGGCTCTTGGCTGGTACTTCTTTGCCTGGTTTGTTATACTGATTTTTGGCCAAGAACTCTTGTAG